GTGGAAAGTGCAGGTGTCGGATATTGCAGCAACTGCAATTGTTTCACAATTCCAGTACATATTGGCTCTGGGAGCGGAAATTATGCCTTATCAAATCCATGCATCTGATGATCTGTGTGAGAGATAAAACATTGATTGAAATTTATCTCTTTAAATCAATTCATCTCCGTGTATGGCGATTTTCGTCAAAATCCAAAAAGGTCGAGCTTTCATGCTGGTCGAATTGGCGTGGAATCAGTAGCAATATTCTGAAAGGTCCTGCAATTGTCCTAAAGTCTTGAACTTCAGGAACTTCACATATATAAAATTCAAAGAAATTGAAAATTTGAACACTTGCAAATGAAACAAAAATCTTGCGAAATGCATTCAGAAAACGATTGATACATGTTCCCGATTATTCGGCGAAGCGATGCCCAATTGCTGTATGAAAAATGGTTAAGTTTCAAAACCCTTTCCAAAACGACATCGGCGGATTTAACTACAAGGGTTCCAAAGAAGAAAAGTGAAGGCGGATTAGAAAGAAAAGGATGTTGACCAGTGAAACCAAAAACGACGCCAGGGGATTACTTGCAGCACAGTAGAGACATTCGAACGTTCACGGTTGCCGAAACTGTGTTCTACTGTCACCTGTTCGCAGGCCAGAATTATTGGTATTAGAATGGTGAAACGCTCGGACGCGCGGTCGGATGAAGAGAATGCCTCTTACCAGTTTCTTGACATTGGCAGTGGACACGCACTCCCAATGAACGTAAATTACGGGTCACATAAATCAGAGCAGCGAAAAACTCAAGCCAACTTAATACAGTACTTTACTTTCCATCAGCCCTTGTAGCATTCAGGGAAATTCAGGGTATTTCTGCCGAGAGTATGGTGTAAGAAAAATTCCAAATCAAATGGTCAAAAGTTCTTCACTTAGCCAATCATCAGGCCGATATCATTACCCTGAACCTTCTCCGTTTTGTCATTCACTTCATCTACTTCTGAAGGAACAATGTCACACGTTCACCTTTGGCCGTCGAATTCAATGGTACCGTCTGGCCACATTCATCCGTGTACGGTTACGTCTTCCATTCACATTCCATTGAGTAGGGGATGCATCCAGTGAAACATTTGTTACAGTCCATGTGGAATAAAGCACTGCCACCTTGTTAATGTCATCAAGGAAAAACACCCGTACGTAGGTCCTTAAAATAATGCGTCCCCGGATTTTAATTACATCATAGCACAAAAAGTTACATCAGAGTCCGAAGCATTTCCGTGAACCTTGCCAGCCGTTTCATGACGTCGATCGATCTTCGTAAGGGGCCGCGTCGCACTAGAAACAACTTTGTGCTTGCCAAAGCAAGTATTCCTTTCCAATGGATATTGGCTAGAAGGTTTGGAGTAGGATGTGAAGAAGGGGAAATGAAGTCACTGGACTCAATGCCTCCAACTACTTCTGTTATGCTATGTTTTCACAATCGGCGACGAGACATATCTCCAAACCAGTACCGTTCCAACATAAAGGTTTACCCATATTCCCCCATGCATATTCTCGACAGAAATTGTGAGAAGGATGCAAGTCTTCTACGAAAGTGAAAAAGATGTCAAAATAGAAAGATTCCTGACTATCACCACCAAGGAATTTAAGCCAGGGCTGACATGGAGTGCCGCTGATCGTCACATTTGCCGTTCCCATATATTCATCTTCCGGGTTTATGCACTCCGCCGGACCTGTGAACAGTGAAAGTGCAATAAATCCCAACATATATTTAAAATTCGAAAGAATGACCATTAATCGAGTACAGGAAGGTATCGATGACAGCCATAGGGAACCCAGGAAAATATATTTTCTGAAGAACTCACTAATGCATTCTCCCTCGACACGAACAATGCAAGTTGCGTCATCGCTTCTAGAACAAAATGGAACGTCACAATACTCCCGTTTCCATTCGTCCCCTTGACTCACGTAACACCCAGGGCCATGAGAAGCGATAGGACTGCGGCAAAAGTTGTTTGTCGTGTCCATGTCTTCAGGGAATGGGGAAAATACCAGGGCAGTCACTTGTATCAGATCGATTGGAAGTTGAAGACAGCGTGCACAAGGTCTGCCCGACAATGTGACATTATGTCTTCCGGCATATTCCATTCCCATGGTCGTTAGCTTGCAATTTGGCGGTTCTAGAAAAAGTAAATCCTTGCTGAATGGAAAGAGGAGAAACGGCATTTCAACGAAAAAAGGGGTTAGGCTCAAAACAGTTAATGCCAAGAATTAGTTGGAGATGTTTTGCTTACCGGAATAAGCCTAGTCCTTTTAAAATCTGACATTGGTTTCGATTCATTCAACGATTGTTGCTGGAAGACAACATATGGAGATGGGATTGGAAACTGAAAATTAATATTTTGGATACCCCTCCAAGGACAATTCTTGAACATGTCCATTGGATGACCGATCGGATGTCGGTCTCTTTGGAGACTCCCTTGGAGGAGTGCAACAATAATAAAGTCCGGGTAGCAACCAATCATAACCTGCATGATCATGAATATTTCTGCCATTGACAAACATATTTTCTCGTAAGTTGACGACCTCGTCCTGATAGGCAGGCAACCGCGAAGAACTCGTTAAGTATGCGAGCCATATCCTTATTACTTGCAATCAACTTTCTCTTTTCACTCATTAGCGGCCCGATCGACTGTTGACACCTACTACTAGCATACCGATAAAAAGCCTTAGGTTTTTTCTTAGCATCGTTAGCCAGCCGTTCCTCCACCCTCTTCTCCCAGATCTAATTTCCCGCTTCAACGTCCGCGTGATGGTCCTATTATCCTCATAGTCCGTGCTACCTCCTGTGCGCTTGTACCATTTCAGCTTTTTATCCCTGATGAGAGCTTTGATTTTCCCCGTAAACCAGACCGGTCGCCTGCCGGATTTTATGGATTTCTTGGGGATGCATTACTTCATAAAGCCCTGAAATAACGTCTTGAACGCCCCCCTTTGTTCCTCTACCGTCAGCCCACGGAACCACACCTCCCAGTCGATGTCTGAAATGCATTCGCGTAGTCTCTCGAAATTAGCCTTGTTACAGTTGTACAAAACCTTCCTGGGTTTGGCGTTACTCTTCGTCCGCTTGATTTTCCACGTGATTGCGCAGTGGTCCGAATCTCCAAAATTTTCCTGTACCTTAACGTCTAGTGGCAGATCGTCGTTCGTCGCAAAAACTAATTCCAGTAAAACTTCCTCGCGCGTCGGTTCATTAACCTACTGAACGAGAAGAGCATCCTGAACCGCAACGAGAAATTTCCTATCCCTTTCGCACCCCTCTCGCGGCACCGACCAAACTATGTTGGGCATGTTAAAGTATCCAAAGAGCAATACCTGCTTCGAGATCTCGCCGATCCTACGCATGAGTGCAAAATCAGCTATTTCATCCTCGAGAGAAGAGTTAGGGGGCCTACGGCAAATTCCTATCACGATCTTCCCAGTTGCTCCACCGATCTCGCACCATAAGGGTTCGATTGCTCCACAGTTAGCCGAGCTGAGATCTTCTCTGACGCGTACGCCCAGTTCGGTTTCAGCGTACAACACGACTCCTCCCCCATTTCCGCCGAGCCTATCCTTCCGCAAGATGTCGTACCCTTCGATCTCGAATTCCTTATCCGAAACGTCATTTTTATTGCAATCGCAAGAAATTTACATTGTTTGCAATAAATTGATACTTTGTTTACGTAAACGTGCTGCTTGGGTAGTTGTGAGGTTAATTCTGAATGTCTTCATTCTTGTTTTAGACAATTTTCTACCAAATACATTTTTGCAAGAAGATTCAAAGTAGAGAAATATTACAATGTAACTCATATCTGGCAATCCTGCAGTTCTTCGGGTACTGACTTTAGGAAATTTCCTGATTTTTACGTATCTTAAGCTTTCATTATGAACACTTGTATTCCCAAAAACTCCGTTTTCACAAAGCATTGAGACAGAAACTGAAAATTAACCAGAAAGATACTCATCCTTCTGGATACCTAGATACAAAGCTCTCCTATCGCGATATATCCTTTTCGGGCATAATTTTTCGGGAGACATTTACGTTGCTTTGTCAGAGTAATGAGGCAGATATAGAAAACGTAAATTCTGTAAAGCTATTCTAGAAAGGGTATGTCCAAGAAATCCCTGCTTTTAAAATTTAATTTCGGTGTGCATAAGTATTTTTTACTCAGGAAGTTTCTGAGTTATGTTTACCTAAAATTGATTTGACTAGGAATATATAGCTAAAGTATCATGCGGAAGTACCACTTGGCACAACTATTTTAGGGCATTGAAGTTCTCCATTTGTTTGCTCACCAATGACGCCACATGGAAGTTGCCAAAGCAAATATGCCTATGACCCCATAAGTTTACATGATTGGTCAACATATGTCTTTTAATTGAATTAATTATTATCCTAGTTAATAAAGCGCCAGAAAGGCGCTACCATATCGAGTTTGTTTGCACAAAGAACAAGTAAAACTCGCAAGTGCGAACAATATTAAAAAAACGCATACCCTCTGGCCACTCCTATTCTCGTACAAAGTAGCGCCTGGGCTATATAATGCAATTAAAATATTATAAGTCCACGCTGTCCTCATACACGCATTCCTCGTATATTTTCCTAAATTGGACAATAAAAAGGGAATATAATATGGTATTTGAGGAAGGCAGGTACTTCATTGCATTTGAAGAGTTTAGTGAACATGGCTACCATAGTTGTGACTCTTGGTACTACATCAGGGGGGGATGTCAGTGTCATTATATGAAGAGATCTGATGGCCCATCACATACATTAGAAATCGGGTTTGGAAGTGCATGTCCCAATTGCTGCCCGCCTCAAGCAGAAATTCACGAATATAGTGATTGTGCTTCCAATACCTTTTTTGTTACGTAGGTAGTTCGTTCCGATTGAAAAGTGTATAACAGATCGAATATTATGTGAATAGTAATAATGCCTTAGGTGATGGTAGAATAACGTGAATTTGGCACTTGCTTTGCTATTAACTCACATAAATCGAAGCACCACAGGCGACAGCTTCTTCTGGATTCAAGGTCATGTTTAACACTTTGTCTTCGAAGCATTCTTTCAAGATATCTTGCACTGCTGGAATTCGAATCGAGCCTCCAACAAGTACGATTTCGTTGATGTGGATATTTTCTGATTCAGCATGCTCCTTGACCTTTAGAAGTTTTCACAGTCAGTATGTCATTTTTTGGCCAAAATTAAATTGATGGATGACTGTCCAAAGACTTACCTTTTCCAGTAGCAACCGGATGGAAGAGAGGTGATTATTGTTCCATTGCTCGAATTCCGTGCGTGTGATGGAGGTGTTTATAGGAGTTTTTTCAAACAGATCGCCAATCACGATTGAAGCCTTAGTGGAGGAAGACAGAACATGCTTGGCATTTACGCATGCTGCGCGAAGACGAAGCAGGGCTTGCTTGTCTTTCTTCAGGCCTTCTTTATCTCTCTTGAATACCTGTAGGACCCATGATTTCTCATTAGTGAAATCAGTGAGAAAAATTCACCCCACGGAGGTCTATTCAGGGCAAATCCAATACCTTCTCGACGAGATGGCACATAATATTGTTGTCGAAGTCTTCGCCGCCCAGATCACTCCGACCCGCAGTATATTTCACACAATAAATTCCATTATTATAGGTCACAATGGAGATATCAAGTGTTCCACCGCCGAGATCAAAAATCAAGAAATTTCGCTCTTTTGAGACTTTTTTGAAACAACAAGCAATGGCAGCAGCAGTTGGTTCGTTGATGATGTGTACCTTCCTAAAGCCAGCAATTTTCCCAGAATCAATAGTAGCCTGCCTCTGGGCACTATTGAAGGAGGCAGGTACTGTCACGACAGCTTCTCCAGCATCTATTACTTCTTTCCTGTCTCTCCCTAGGTAGGCAGCAGCAAGTTCTTTCATCTTGCTAAGTAACATGGAGTTGATCTCCTCAGGGCAGAAAGTCTTCGCCTCCCTCTTGTAAGACACCTTAAAAAGATCCAAAAATACTGGGTCAAACTTCACAGATTTTAAACACTTCCACATCGATTTGTGAAGTGGCTGTTGCACCTCAAAATCCGAATTGATAGGGGAAATGTGCATGCATGGTGGGCTGGATGAGATTTGAAGTCACTTAACCCTTTGAGGGGTACGAATATAAATGTACTTTTTCAAACTGTTAACGAAAGTATAGTTTCATGATTCGTGCAAAGAATCATGTTTGCATTCGCTGCAATTCTTGCATTTCGCACATTACAATTGACAAAATCTCAAATTATGAACAATGAATTTATTGTTTAAGGATCTCTCACATTTTTTGTAACATTCCAAGGTCACGAAAAAGAACTCAACTCGCAAGGAAAAGCCAAACTACTCGAGTCTAAGTGCTCCTGCCATTAGGATTCTGAAAATCTCGACCACTAGGATGAAAAATAACTTTATTAATCAACCGGCCATCTCAACTTTTCCTTCAAGATATTGGGTTGGAAAGAAAGTCTTGCAACACTTTCTAAAACTATTTATAAACATTTTCAAAGGAATGATGGGCGGGGCTTTATCTCGCAGAGTGTCCTTGGAGGAACTCGTAGAAGACGACAGGGCGAAGATTCGCTCGTTCGATCGGAGGCATGGCTGCAAACTAATGGCAGAAGCCGCCTTTTATACCCTGAGGGCAGAAGCTTCCATTCAAAAGAGCGTCCAAAACGCGGCAAAGTTCTCTTACTGCATAACAACGCTCGTCAACTTGTTGCGAAGATGACTCGCCAGACGATTTCGGAACTGGGTGGGAAGTTTTACCCCATCCATCTTATTCTCCGGACTTGGCCCCTTCCGATTATCACTTGTTCCGCGCCCTCAAGAATCATCTGCGGGACAAGGCCTTCGACGATTGAGCACGGCTTGAAAATTATATCGGCCGTTTCTTCGCTTCGCAATCGCCAGAGTTCTGGGCAAAGGGTATCCAGCAGTTACCCATGCGTTGAGAACATGTCATAGACAACAATGGTCATTACATTGTTGACTGAAATTGCATTTAAATAAAATTATTCAGTTTTGAAAAATTTGTGCAGAGTATTGCTTCACTTTCTTTCCAACCCAATAGTTCTCATTTTGCCTTAGGTTATTGATTGTATTAAGGTAAAACGTAATATAGTAATATGAAATGTAGTTTCACTTGCTCTGTAGCTAGCAGTTTTGTAATTTGAATGTATGGTGAAAAGGGAATGTGTGGAGGTCTAATACGTTTTCGAAGCTGCAGGATGCCGGATATGCAGGATATAGGAACGCAGCATTTAGGAAATTGGAGACATTTATAAAAAAAAGTATATGTACGGGAGACCAGGAAAAGTGGAATGGCGGGACAAAGTGGAATTGTAGGTCTTCTGCCTAAATAGAATGCACAATTTATTGGAATGAAATTTTTCTGATCATTGCATGAAACAAGGAAACCGGGCCAATGAACATTTGCCCACTCAATAACTTTTGTCTAACCCCGGAAAAGGCGTACTTTTCCTCCTCCCGATGTTATTTCTTACTTCCGTGGATTTTTGTTTTTAGTTAGAAAATATAGCTAGTAGGTGAATACAATAACTGGGAACAGATAGCTGGAACACTTTGTGATACATCTCAATAAACACTTCGGCTATGGTCATGCATTTTTCGAACAGCTCTTCTTCTTCTTAGGGAGGTACTAGTGGGGCAAATTTAAATGGCTTTCTGATTTGGGTTTCCTATCCATCATTCCAAATGTGAATTAGATGTAATTTCTTATGGACATTCGAGCATTTAAAAAGTATTTATATCGCGGATGAGCTGGAAGACACTGGAGCACACTCATTGTTCATGGTAAATTTACATCAATTTATTAAGAAGGCCAGATTACTAGAAATATTGTATCTTCATCCAAAAGGGAAAATGCAGGAAGCTCAAATTGTCTGCAATAGTACCTGACTATGGTATTGACTTCATGGCAAATGAGTGTTAGGAAATGCATACCATTAGGGCACGTTTTCGAGGAAATGATGCACTTTTTAAAATATAATCGATTGCCGTGAACTTGTCTGATTCCCTGAGATAAAACTTAATGGAATATGAACTGTTGCCTTTCTCAGTTCAATGAAAATCCAACTTTCGAGGCATGTGCCCAGAGGGCACATTTATTAAGCGCGGATTCACATAAATTCTTCGCATTTTAAGGTGGTACGGGAATGAAAATCAATGGGTCTGGGATCCCAAATGTTTTGTATTGCTTATTTTGAGTGTCTCACGAAACCCAGGAAGCGCTTTCTTACACTACCATCAATTTTACTAAAGCCATAAGACGTGTCCAAAGTTTCCGTTTGATGACATCAAAGAGCAATGTTTGACGGCAATATAGCAACCGAACCACTAGAGGGATCTCCATGAAAGTTTCATGATTACAAAGTCGGAAAGGTCTCTACAACAAGAAGTCAAGCTCAGCGCCGAGGCTCTCACGTCAGAAGGTCAGAGGAATTTTTTAATCCGAGCTATGGATCTTCGTCAATTAGTTTTTCCGCCGGCGTTTCGAGAAGACATTCATTTCAGAGAAAAGCATAAATCGGATTTTGGGGAACATCCTCCTCCATCCCCACGCCAAGTTTAGAGAGAATCGTTCAAGCCATTTATCAGGAAAGTACTCGAATATCACCAAAAATAGTCACTTTCTCAGTGCCTTCATCGCTTCCTGACGTTTCACTCTAGTTCAAGTGCGAAATTGCAAAACGTTTTCAGACACTTTCATAGCATATATTTTCCTAGTGAATTGCGATGAAAACTATCCTGATGAAAACCCGCAGGAGCGCATTTACATCTAGAGTTCCCCATGAAAAGGAACCTCTCAAAAAGGAGCGAGATATTCCCAACTGACCTAAATGCAAATCATGCCATTGTGAATGTCAATTCTTTTTTTTTAAATTAATTTTTGCATGTTCTCGCATATGGCCCTATGGCAATCAGGAATCGAAATATTCCCTTAATCAAAATTTGAGAATAAAGTGCATCGACAATTGCTCGCGTCATTTAAAATCCTGCGTATTTTGCCGCCCGCAAATATTTGGGAAATAAAATCTTCACGTCTGCACATTGTACTCGATATGGTTCAAATTAGGAAAACTAAAAACAAAGTTTGGATTCTTCGAAAGTTAAAATAAATTCATGATTTTGGGCGATCTCATTGTTGCACTGGTTATCGTTCGGAAATATTCTCTTACTCAATTTCTTCAACATTGAGGTGGCATTTCTCCGCGTAATGATAATCATGAATATCAATGACATTTTTAGCATTTCATGTGCGTTGTAAGAAAACGAACAAAGAGATTTCTCTTTTTTCCGATGTGGGAATACAAAAGCATATTCGCCGAATAGTATAATTTCTTCCACTGGTAAGCGCTTCCTTTTATTGCAAGATGCTAATAAAAGTGCATGCTATTCTAGCAATACTTGGAACTCAACACACTTCAACCTCTATAGACTTCATGATTTTTTTTATTCCAATAGCATTAGGTGCTCCCTAGATGAGGTTTATTGGACTTTTGCAATGAATATTTCCAGGCAAGTCATTTCGAGGAGTTTAGGGGCATATCCTCATCCTGCCTATATTCCTTCACCTCCTCTTCCTCCCTCCCCCCTTCTTCCTTTCAGTTTACGATATGACATCCCTGTTATTATAATTTCCATTCACGCTGATGGAAGAGAATTTGAATACTGAAGCAGAACAACTTTAAAGCTGCTCTGATGCTGAAGAGAATGGTTAGATAACTTGTCCAAAAGCAGATTCATATCAGTTTCTTAATTGGTGCTGCTGACCTCAGAAAACAAAAACAAAAAAAACACAAAAAACAGCACATTGGATGGAAGGGTTTTGAAGGGCAAGAAATGCATACGCTGTCAAGTCAGTAACCCAGGTCAATTGAATCTGAGCGATTCACCTCGTCAACTTGATCCTCTTCTCACGCTCTCCAAGGTCCTCAATTGACCTCAGGAATTTACGGAGGGTCAAATGACAGGTGAGTTGAAACTTAACCCTTCATGACACCTGTCTTCCCTCTTGACGGCAAGGGGCACCTGTAGGGCGTATTCAGTACAAAACGAGCTTCTCAGATCAAGATATGAAATCATTTTCTTCAGAGGTCCTTGACCAGTGCGAACGTCCCACCATTCGTTTCTGGAGGTATGAGTCAGTTCCAGCCTGAATTTCTGAACGAAAGACTGCTACTTCTCTGTGATTGTCTTTGGGAAAACTATTTTTCCCTTGATCCGTTTCTGAAAAAAGGATATTCCCAGGTATACGTGACAGAAGCGCTCCTATCATTGTTCAATGCTTCTGTTCTTCCTTTCAAATTTTGAAGAATGAGGAATTCAGGTCAGTGCTAGAAACAGAGATACCCAACCTAGATACGGAGCATATTAGGAGAACCGACTTCACGTTCTTTCTGAGATGAAGTGATGCTGGCAGCTAGTGTCCCGTTCTTTGTGCCTACACGTCCTTATTCAAAAGTTACCTCAGGGAAAGCTGGTCAAATATCCTCCGGGCATAGCTTTCGGGTGGGTCGGCTTTTTCAAGCATAATTTTTCGCCAGCGAACAGGGCAAACGTATAATATTGAAACTTTCCTAGATTTTCTAGTTCTGTCATGGAACAAGTGGAAGTATTAGCAGACTGCCCGATTTGGTGCAACACCCTCTTCCGCGTGGAGGGACAGCCAGTATTCTGGAAAAAATGGTATCAAGCTGGAGTTAAAACAGTGAGAGATCTC